CCTACACCAGAGACAGTGTACTGAATGCCTCTATTTCACCCTGTTTAGCAGAGTGCAACAGTGTTCTTTAACTTACTTTTGGTGGGAGGAGAAGTTATAGCTGAAATTTGAGAAGGGCGTGAAAAGTTGTAAGAGGCACAAGGAAGAGGGGTAGGAATTCCTTCAAATGTGATTTTAATAACTAGTCAAGTGTGTCCAACTGTAGAAAATCACCAAGTGACAATCTGTCTACCTGACAGTGATCACAATGAATTACAAGACTTTTGAATAGCTATACAGATTAGAATAAAGCAGGACCAAATAAAGTATCTTTTGTTGGTAAAACTTTGTTTTACCAGCTACGAAACTTTAAAAAAAAAAAAAAAGCCTTCTCTGTGCTTTGATGTAGAACGTTTAAATATAAAGTCTTGTAAAGTATTTTATAAGGCTTTCATGAAAGAGGTATGTATCTAAAAGTTCTATTCAAACATATATTGAAGAATATGTGGGATATTGTTAATCAATTTGGTACACATTATATAGTTTTCATGTATGTAAGACAACTATATCTTAATTAACAGTCCTATCACTAAAATCAGAACTTAAATGATCTTCAAAGTCTCTAAACCATGGTTTTAGACAATAATATTATCTCCTGAGGAACGGGGGTAGAGTTGAAAGGATCCCAGTGAAGTTTGTACTTGGTTTGTGAAATCAGCTGTTAAAAAAAAAAAAAAACAAGTACATGCAACAATATAGCATACTTAAAAATAAGATAGTTGAGTCTATGCTATTATTACTGCTATCAGTTTTTTAAAATCATCTTCTTATATATTAGTTTGGCAAAAATGTAATTTCAAACGAAGTAGAAGATTCTACAGTTTTGGAAATGTATTTACTTTTTTTTTTCTTTTTTTTTAGTAAGGATGATTTGTTAAAGTTTTATGTTTTGTAGCTCTGATGTTTTTATCACAGTATAATACATGTTTTAGGTATGACCTTACAGGATTGTGCAAGGCAAAATTGGGACACCCACAGAACAGAATTGAATAGAAAAGACAAGATACATAATTCTTTCAAAAATGTGTGTTGTGCATGCTTGTCAGTGGTAATTGTTTACCCTTCTCTATTTTCTCATGGTAGAATATTCCATGAGTTCTAACAATATAAATACCAAAGTTTTCTTAATGATAACCATAGAAGTGTTTGCCTTGCTGGCATTAAATCAGACAGGGAAATATGCTTTTAAAATGTTCAGAAGGCTTAATAGCTCAATGAGCTGTATTTTAAATTTTGAAACTTGTTTCCTTGTATTAGTTCTTTATGAAAAGAGATTTTTATGGTAGTCAAAAAATCTAAAAGAAAGCAATTTCAGGGTTAAAGTGTTGCTGCCATACATTACACTAAGATTAATTTATTTTGTTTTATGATTTGTATGGCTTTCTGGAAGAAGAAAGGGGGAAAAATCCAAGGGACAGAGGTAGACACTATATGTATATGTTTATGACAATATACTATTATAATATACATATATAAATATTAGATTATATTATTCCTTTTTACCATTCAAACAAAAAATGCTTACTGAATCACAAATTGTAAAAGAAAGAAAAATCCAACAAAATCCAGTTTGAATCTTGAACTTCAATTTCAAAGAGGTTATTTTCTCAAAGTATATATTATAAATATTAATGTCGTTTGAAAGTGTACTTTTAATTCACAGTTTATTTCAATTATTTTTAGGGTTCTAGAAGATCTGAAGCACCTTTTAAACATTTTAAACTTTATAATTTTTATGTTAAAATTACGTCTTCTTATAATAATGTATGGTTATTTACACAAACAACCCAGGCAAACAATTTTGTACACCTTTCTTTTGGAAAAATTAAAACTATAATCTTTTGTGAAGAAATGTTTTAATGAATATACAAATATACTAAATAACATGGAATTTTAAAGAAACTTTTATGAATTGGTTTCTAGGATTAAATTAAGCTGTCTTTTCTTTCTAAACAGGAAGGATATGGAGTAATAGTTTTGAATCCCAATGAAAACTATATTGAAGTAGAAAAGCCGAAGATACATGTACAGTCATCTTCTGATAGTTCAGATGAACCAGCAGAAAAACGGGAAAGAAAAGATAAAGTCTCTAAAGAAACAAAGAAGCGACGTGATTTCTATGAGAAGTATCGTAACCCTCAAAGAGAAAAAGAAATGATGCAGTTGTATATCAGAGTAAGTAATAAGTAAGATCATTACTTTTCGTCATTATTTTCCTTATGTTTACTTCATATAAATTATTTTTTGAAAGAAGCTGTTAATTCCTTAATTTTTAACCATTTATTTTCCATGAGTGCTACTATTTAATGTTTCTGCTTTTTAAATCAAAATTACAAACACATTATTCTTATATCAGTGTGATAGTTTATATAAGTCTCAAAAGCAGTTAATAATGCACTGCACGAAACATCAGTCTTCATCTCAAGTAGTGATAGTTTTAATGTGTTGTTTTTCTACAAGCAACCACCCATCCACCGTGTCTCAGCTTAACTTCTGTGGGCAGATAGTGGTGGGAAGAGTAATTAATATCTTAATAAATATTTAATCTAGAATATTTGGGGATAGTGTAGTAAGGGAACTCTGTCATTTGCTTTTTTCTTGCCCCGTGAACCTTTGCACTTTGTAATGCTAGCAGCATGAAATCGTTACAGCAGTACTGCCCAAGGAGTTCTAATTCTGCAGGGGGCACAAACAATTTTATTTGCACTTTGACACATTCTGCTTGATATACACTGTGTATTATATATATGAAACAGACTCATGCAGTTTTCAAAGCCCTTTTTATGGATTCTAGAAATATAATTTAATAGTAAAGCATGTAAAAAATGCTACAGGGTATGTAAAACAGTAAAATGATAGGTTCTTCCAAAGTGAACAATTCAGAACATTTAAACATAGATAATTAACATTTTATAAATTATACAATAAGATAGTATTAAAGTTTAAGATTATTCAGCTTGAGCTATTTTTACATTTACTTTAAAAGCTCATTAATAAACTATTTTATACTACCTTTCACAGGAAATACATGGCTTTCAAAGTTATTTTCTTGAATATACTTCTAGTTCAAGGCATAATCACTATACTTCTGAGAATGGTACTCAAAGTATTCAAGACATTTGATTATATATCAGTCTGTTGAGTAAGTTATGACATGTAAATAGTAGTGAAAGCCACGTATCAATTCTCAAAACCCCAAAACGTGTTCTTGACCAAGAATAACCAAAGCACATCAAACAATGAGCCAAGAGTAAGTTTTGCAGATTATAATATTTAAATTTTCCGAAAAGCATCTTGTTAATCAATATATTATTGGGGTGGGGGAGCAGTTAGATTTGGAATCAGTAAGGAGCTTGCTTTTCCTAATGCAGTTACGTTACTGCCTTTCTTCCTGTGACTGCATCAGGGTCATATCTTCTTCTCTATCGATTGTCCTCAGCTTTTTGTTATATGATCCAGTCTATCAACCACTATCTGAAGGCAGACTTTTATAAAAACTGTCTCTGATATCCAAATCCCAAATGTAGATTATGTAAGGTTTATGAAATAGAGAAATCATTATGAGTATTCACTTGCTTATGTGAAATGCACACCAAGTGATTTTGGGTATTGTTTTTTATTTCTTCTTACACAATTTCTTTTATTTGCCTATGATATGTACAGATTAAGCATCTATGTCTGACATCTGTCTAGTAGGTTTTATCTCTTCTTTTCTATTTTGTCTTTATCTTGTCGCCATTGCTTTGATTTTTTCTTTGTTCTCTTGTATGTGTGCATTTTCTTTATTCTGTTTTTCACATCTGTTTAGTTTATCCCAGCATCAGTTTTTTTTTTTCTTACACCAAGGGGCAATATCTTTTTATGTTGCTTCATTGTTAAGATTTGCTGTCTTTCCCTTTGTCATTTTCTTTAATTCTTTTATCTCTTTTACACTTCTGCCATTTTTACTTCTTTCCTTACTATGTCTTTTTGCCTCTTTCTTTCTTTTCCCATTTCATTTAACAGTCTAGGTTTCCATTAAAAGGGCTAAAAGACAGAAATAGTCTCATGTAAGTAACACAGCTTTATACTTGATAGTCTTAGTTACGAAAAATGTTATTTTTCTTAATAAATACCTTTCTCTTAATATCTCCTAGAATTGTGTGAAGTAACAGAGTTAAGCTGGTAGCTTTAAACATACTTCTATGTAGTAAGGCATGATCTTATAGTAGGAACGAGAAGAATGCTTCATTTTGTATATAGGGTTTTAATTTGTGGGTAATTTTGATCCACTTGAGAAGTAAGTTCTTCCAGTACTCTTCTTCTATCTACGTAGCTCCAAGTAACAAGGGTTTGTAATTTTCATACACAAAACATGGCATGTGATGGGTATAAATGAACTTTTATTTATATATAAACATTTACATTAGAAATTTATCATTTATTCTTTGAAACAACTCTGTGAGGTAGGTGGATCAAATAATTTTATCCTTATTTTATAGTTAAGGAAACTGATGCACAGATGGTCCATTTTTGTCTAGGATCACATAACTAATAAAATGGTAGAACTAAGTTTTAAAACCAGGGCTTCTAATTAATGTACATTCTTGCTCCCTTTCTTTTTTACTAAATTGTTCTGTTTGAAAACAAAAATACTTTTGTGAAATATGAAAACTAAGCCAATTGTAATGAAATCCTGGTATGAAAAAGTAATACATGTGATTATTATATAGATTTTTTAACCAGTTATCACTTAATAGACACTATTAAATGTCTATAAACAATTTATATGTAATATATTTATAATATAGAAATAATAAATAAATTGTATTATATTAAAATATGTTTTCTCTTTTAATAGAATCACTAATATTGATTTAATTTTACAGATGAGGAAACCTTTGATCAAAACTTAGTTTCATGAGAGCAGGCACTTACTCTGTTTTGCTGACTGCCGCATCCCAGAGCCTAGAACAGAACCTTCATAATGAATATTTATAGAGTAGGACCCTCTCAATAAATTTTCAGTTAATAATGTGTTGGAGCCAGGATTAAAATCCCAAACCATTACTGCTTTTTAAAATATGTCCTGCATTATGCTACGTGATTGTTCCCCGATCTAGTGGCTTAGAATAAATTCTAAAAATTAATGGTAAAAAGTATGTCAAGATATATTTGATACCTTGATTGATCTATACATTTTCATCTGAATATATAAAAGTTGGATATTCTGTTTTCCTTTTTATCTACATCACCTTGGTGCTAAAATTATGGATGAAAATTATGGAAATATTTTATTTTGACCTACTGCTATTTCTGTTTTATACACTTGCCGATAAGAATACAGGCAGACTGCTGTACTTGTACCCTATATACACTTTGTGCTTTCTGGGATCTGTAACTTTGCTTCCTATTACTGCTCTTAATCCGATTCTATCCATCTTATAGTTCCAAGCTGATTTCCCACATTCTCCACTCACCATAATCAGTGACCTCTCCTTAATATGATTCTTGGAAGTTATTATGTTTAGTTAACTTATATGGAATTTGTCATGTGCTATCTTAAAACATTGTCTTTGTCTCATAATATTATTAATATTACCAAGTTATTTTTCATGCCTTCCCACTAGATTTTCCCAGAACCCTCTAGATCTTTGAGCATGCTTTATAGATTTTGGAATTGCATGTCAATCCCTATGGAGAAGTAGATATGAGCCAGTTTTCACACTAGTACAGAGCATACTGTGAGGAAGTGAGGAACTGATACTACACCCACACTTAGAGTCCAATCCCCTGAAAGGAGACCAGAACAAAAAGACTAGGCCTTACTCTAGCGATACCTAGATAATGTGACCTGCAGCATAGGAATGAGGGTTATTCTGGCATCAAACGGGACCATAGAAAGACAAGTACTCCACCTAAGAAAGAAGACCAATTAGAAGAATTTTCTAGTTTGTATTCCATATAGGTGGATATACGCAAAAGTGATTTGAGGCCAATCTATGAAATACTGGGTTAAAACTTTTTTATTGTCTCTTCCCTAAGAGACTTAGTTGTGGGCTATGGTGATGGGAAGTAAAGAAGGAGGATGATTAGACCAGAGCATTTTTTTTAAATGCTGAGAGTGGAGGAGGGGGAGAAAATTATATGGCCACGCAAGGAAAGATTCAGATGTGGAGGAGACATTCACAGAATAGGAGTCTTGGCAGAGCCTGGCATTACACATTGAAGATACTCAAATATTTATGAATTGATTGCTTGTTGACATCCATCACAAAAATCTTATTCCTTAACATGCAAGATATGTGGTGTCTAGTTTTCTGACAGATTTTTTTCAGGATTCATGTGAATTTTTGCAATTGTTCAGAAACAGCTAACTCCAATAAACTGAAGCTTTCTTTTAAAAAAATATGTTTTTGATATTCTGACTTGGGTTATGTCCAAAATATTGGTGAAGGCTGATAAATATCCTTTCTTCTCCTCTCTGCCTCTTCTCTTCTGTGCTAATGCCACTGGAGTACTTTCTACCTGATGTTTTTGCAACGAAATTCAATTTATTTATATTACAATAATGATTGTTTAACCTCTGGGACCATTTTTATGTTCCTAGTATATACAAGTATTTGAATTTTCTTTTTTTCTGGAATTCAGTAAATAGCCAAAATCTCTTTTCAAATTTTAGCAAATATCTAGTATGTACCAGAAGAAGTAAAGTAGAATCCAGGTCTAAAATCTTACGATTAGCAAAGTATAATTTTATTTTACTTGCAAAATGAGTATAAATAGATATGACTCACTATTGGATTATATTGCACATTTCTAATGTATTAGGAGCAATGCTTGAGAGATTGAAGTACCTACTGTTTCATGTGACAACTTTCCTTAAATATGAAATAATGTACTTTCTGGCATATATTATGGCTTAATAAGGGGATTGATTTGGTCTAGGCAATAAACATCATGTCAGACATTCCTGGCATGAAAACCTGCTTAATATGTTTTGTAATAAGACAGAATTTTTTGTTCTTGAAAACATCTGCCAACTGAATTCAAGAGTGAAGACAGAAAATGTCATCAATTCAGTGGTAATCCTATAAATTTAGTTTCTTTTTGAGCAATACATATCAAGATACACAAAATTTCCAGTGTTAATCACCACTGGTTATAATACTTTGTAAAACGATATAACAAAAATA